TATACATACATATATGTAGAAAAAGAAAAGTCCTACACGATTGACACAAAAAAAATAGCTAATACAATAACACACGAATATTATCAATTTAACATCGAAACTGATCTTTCCGGATTGTCAATAAATAATTGACTAATCAGAACAAGTCCAGTAGTTACTTGTCCGCCCTACTTGCCCGCCCCACTAGCACACTCGTTGTCCCACAGATACCAGGAGCGAATCCAGAGATGTCCGAAAGGGGACCGAAAGAGGGCCAAAAGTGGGGCCCCCGCAATTTTTTGTTTTCTAGAAGCCCGAAAATAACTTCTGAGGCGTTTTGGGCGATTATTTTTTTTGTCTTTGTCTTTCTTTCTTTCTTTTTTCACTTTCCAAAAGAGGGGGGGGGGGACGAAGCCAGCCTGCTTCTGGATACACGTGTTTACTTTTGTAGTACCTTAGCAACAATGTTTAAGGGACAGACGATTACACAAGATATTATAATATTTACAAAAACATGAGTTGACTTGAAAACTTATGTACACATATACGTATTGCAATATAATCAATAATATTATTTATACAAAGTTGTCGTCATTCTTATACTGTCGGATATTTTACTATAATGATTTATTGCAAATTGTTTTGTATTGTAAATTTTATTCAGTATTATTTTGTATTGTTCGCCATTGTTTTACGTGATGCTATTATGGTCCTTGCCACTGTCTGGCCTTTGCCCGAATTATATCGCCATCTTAACTTGTATCTTACTTGTACGTAAAAGGCAAATTCGTACCAGATCGGCTTTGAACGTTAATTTTCATCAACCTATATTTAACAAGCGTATTGGTAACAAATCTTTTCTGTGTGAGGTACCACTCATCTGGAATAACCTTCCAGTGCACATTCGATCTTCACCTACTGTGGCTGTCCTTAGGTCTAACTATAAAGACTCACCTCTTTAATTAATTAATTAATTATCTTCATTTTTATTTTTATTTTATTTATTGTTGCATTATTTATTTATCATTCTGAACTTTTCCACTGCTACTTTTGATGTGTTTACTTGTTTTGTGCTTGGGTTAGGCAATGATCATGACTGCCTGTGGGTTGTGAGGTGCCTAAGTATGTGGGGTGCAGTGCTTCGTATCTGCAAAGAAAGGCGCGTTATAAATAACTTGATTGGATTGGATTATTTTAATAAATGAATGAATTGCCATAAATGTTGCCATTTTAAAAAAGAAACTAAAATCATGAATTTTCTGTAAATATATAGGCCTACGTTATTATTATTATTATTAGTAGTAGTAGTAGTAGTAGTAGCAGCAGCAGCAGCAGCAGCAGCAGTAGTAGTAGTAGTAGTAGTAGTAGTACTAGTGAAGAAAAATACATTTTAACTTAATAATGAGAATAACCATTTTGTACACTCTTAAATTATATCATCGTCATTCATCGCCACAGAACATTACTTCATGTGATAGAATTTGGCGCTATACAAATTATTTCGATTGATTGATTGAATTGCATGCTCGGCCACTTCATTAATGTATATATAGGACGATCAACCATCATTAATGGCTCCTTTCATTCATTTGCAAATTTTAATTACATATAGTCTGCTGAACATCTATTCGAACATGTTATTATTTTTAGATTAAGTTTGATGTCCATGTTGATATTGATAATATATACTTTCTTGAATTCATATCAGTTTATGCTAAGATCTAATTTCGATGCGTTTAAATTTAACTTAATAATGAGAATAACCATTTTGTACATTCTTAAATTATATCATCGTCATTCATCGCCACAGAACATTACTTCATGTGATAGAATTTGGCGCTATACAAATTATTTCGATTGATTGATTGAATTGCATGTATATATTATAGGACTATCAACCATCATTAATGGCTCCTTTCATTCATTTGCAAATTTTAATTACATATAGTCTGCTGAACATCTATTCGAACATGTTATTATTTTTAGATTAAGTTTGATGTCCATGTTGATATTGATAATATATACTTTCTTGAATTCATATCAGTTTATGCTAAGATCTAATTTCGATGCGTTTAAATGGTTGTTCGATATATGAGCTTCCAGTTGGCCTAGATATAGAATAATTACTAAGTTTGCTCACCCATATTGTTCGAACCTCTTTCTGTTTCAAACAGAAAAACACAAAAATAAACAACCCTTGAAGAGAATTCATTAAACAAAATAGAATATCGAATATATAATCATGTTCCGTGTCAAAGGTCATGAAGCCGAAGAACCACGAAAGACCTAGTAGAACGGAAATACCTATAGCATTCTGTGCTCGTTGAGACAACCTCTTGAAACGAGAATTCACGGATTTTTTCGGCAACCTGCTGCTCCGAAACAGTACTAACAAAACGCGAAAGAAGACACTAAGATTGAAGGTAAGCACGATTGCGACTGGGACGATGATACTGACGAAGAACGCAACACCAGGTACCATAAAGCAACTAGAAAAAATAAAACAAAATTAGCATTATTATTCATGTCAATTACTAAATTTTACATCATTTGAAATTCAAATTATATTTTATAATAGTAGGCAACGATATGTGAATAAAGATTCCTGCACTGAGAAAACATAATATTCATACACAATGCGTTTCAACACGCTTTACAAACATCCAGCAAAAACATGATGTGCTTACTATTGTGGGTTGCGGTAGCTTTCTCTGGTATCCGACCATCCAATCATAAATATCACAATAATTGCAGGTGTTCCTGTAAGATAGTATGGGGGATACAAATCTATAATAAATTGAAGATCTAAATCTTTAAATCATAATAAATATTATAGTATTAATAATAGGCCTATATAAACATATATTTATGTACATATTTCATCCAATCCTACAGTAAATCATCGCCTCTAACAGGCTGGTATAAAAATATATAATATAAAAACTAAAAACACAAAAACCATTATTATTAATATAAAAATAAACATTGAACTTTAAAAAGAATGCTGCATAGTTTCCGAAATTGTTTGTAGAAGAAAGAGAATTAAATGGAATCCTGTAATAAAAACTAAGTTAAACAATTTTACTAAAAGGAGCATTAAAACGGGAGAAGAACGAATAATATCAATAGCAACTAATACAACAACAACAACAATAATAATTATAATAATAATAAATAATAATAATAATAATAGGCCTAACTGTTGTTTTTATCTGATTATCAAAATTCAACACATAAACTGACGTGTGTTAGAGGAAACCATGGGCAAATGACCCAACATAAAAGTGAGAACCTCTTCTTATTATAATAAATATTTGAATATATTATTTTAAAAAGGCTAAAACGACATGATTATTATTATTACTATTAATATTATTATTATTACTATTAATATTATTATTATTATTAATATTATTATTATTATTATTATTATTATTATTATTATTATTATTATATATCATCATCATTATTATTATTATTAGGCTAGGCCTATTATAAAATTGATTTTCAATTAAAATTCAAGAAGACAGTCTCTAAAGAAATTCTGGATCAGTAAGTATGATAAATCATAATTCTGGGATTATCGGTAAGTACAGCCTAAAGCATCCATGGTAATCCCCATCATTTATTACTAACGAATTGTCAATTTCGTGATAGATCATCAATATTCGAAATAACCTTACCCCAAGCGAAAATGCAAGCCTTTAGAAGGAACATGTAAATATCAGATTTGAAAATTTTTACAAGATTTAGATATAGATTTATAGCCTCAACGCCTGTCCATACAATAGTCGTCAGAGTAAAATAGTGGAGCAGCATTCCGACGGCCATGCACGTCCTCGGTGAGATAACCCCAGCCTTATCGATACCTATGACGAACAAAATGTACAGGCACAGGAGTGATATACTGAGGTTAATCAATATCCTCTGAGGCTCTTGTGAACGGAGTCTCCTGAAATCAAAACAGAAATAATCAATATTACAGGATGCACAAGTGTGTGGGTTAATTGAGATAAGAAAGTGCTGGACGATCGGGATGGGATAATTGTTGAGAGACGATGTTCACGTGTTATAGTGCAAATACAGATTGCAGACTTCGGGTGAAGTGTTGGTCAAAGTACTGAGATGATTTGCTGCAATTGTAGATTTATTCCGATGGGAAACACCATAATACCTAATGTAGTCACCATTATTTCCGTTTTAGACTTCTTCAGTAACCTTTATCAATTTAGGGAATTAACCAAGCCTTTCTGAAGACAACGCATCTTTCAATGGAGCTTAATGAAGATACAATTATAGAGTCACGTACAGATACTGGTGGTTCATTTATGGGTTTAAAACCCCTACTCATACTATATTTTCCGGTAAGCATGTGAAAATAGTAATTTTAATATTTTGTCTTTGCGCAAATCCTATCGAAAAGCAATGTTTAGAGTAAGGCTATCAATGAAAAGGTGGTACGGCACTTACGGAATTGCAATAAATGCAATCAATGTTGCAAATAAACAAGCGATGGACACTAAGCAACCGAGACGACTGATTAATTCAAGAGCCAATAGAGTATTTCCAGACACATCCGAGTCTCTAAATTCCTGTAAATAACAATTAAAAAAAAACATAGTCGATTTCAATGCCGAGAACATTTATTATTTAATTCCTGATGATGATCTAGGAGATCGGAACATTAAATCACAGGGACAAGTCTTACTTTATTTAGAGTTTGTTTTATACTAAGATATCTGAAAATTATCAGCGGGCCTACTGGTTTTTAAAATTTAATATTACCAATAAATTGATGTAGAATTACTATGTGAGTAAACAATTAATTGAAATGTGCTAGGCAAGACAGGTCAGAATAGTCATATATTTAAAAGGGTAAATGGAAGTTTTGATACATAAAGAGATGTATAACCAAAACAATAACGCAACTTTATCTGAGAAAACTTTAGTTTAATTATAACTTTATAAAAGGCAGGCCTATATTTTTAAAATTAAATCAAATCAATTGAAGCAATTTCTCATTTAAAGCATCTAATAACTTATCAAATTCTAATTGATTACAGGAGTGTAAGCAATTCAGTTTTACTGATGTTCTGAATATTAAAAAACGAAAATCATTTTACTTTCATTAAATAATAATAGAAAATCAAAAAACTAAAATGTAATCATTATGCGAAATACGAAATTAAAATTGAATTGATTTTGTTTTGGTCAACACAGAAAGTAAGACTCCATGCGAAGCTATTACTCATTTATGTAGGGTTGGCATCAAACTAGCCGAATTATAAATATCATAAATTTTGATTATTAGCAGTCATCTGCTGTTGGTAGTTTAAAGTTCAGATTCGACACCTACAAGTTAATCAATGCCGCCCTCATTGTTTCACAATTATAACGAATATTGCACTTACAACCAGTACTGCAAAATGTGTAAGGTGATTACAGTTACATGTTATCATTCCATTTTCCTTATTGGTTATGCAGCCGGCTGTACTCCAGTCTCCTACACCTCGTTGTAGACCAAAATCCCAAAACACGCACGTTGCTTTTTTGTACACTGTATTTTTCTGTTCAGAAAAAAATGTTTTAATGATTATGCAATAATAGTATAACAACGTCGACCCTACTCCATAATGTATAGTTCGGTTAGGGTCATAGAGTATTATACCAACTTGCTATAGGCCTAATTATGATGACAATAACGCAATGATTAAGATATGCAAGTGTAACCTTAGTAGAGTGGGCGTCCTTACGTCAAGATGCATACAGTAGTTAGTAGGCAATTAGGACAATTGATTACTTCATATTTGGAATGATATTAAATTTCATTACAGATAAACATAAAACAAAAATAATGATAATAATTTTAATGAGTGACTCATCAATTTGAGGAATGTTACATTAATTTTATGCGTATTAAATTAATGGGCTATAAGAAAGTCCAAATTTGTATCAGATACTCCACAAACGGGTCAAGTCTCTAAAGACTTTCGTTTAATCGTAACGTTTGTTAAAGGGTAATTGGGCATAATTAGAAATACTAAGCCAACGACTGTCACAATTTTATTTAATCCAAAATAGGTTTTGTGGATTGGATCATGAAGTCCATGAATTTTGAAATTCGGAACGTTGGTGTCTTAGACACAATAAAGTATTCTCAAAGAAGAACTTACTTCCACGCCAAAAGAAACTCTGATTGGATCTTTTAGTCCGTGAACTTCGACATTAGGAACATTGATGGCCAAAACACGACTAAGTATCCTCATTGATGTGTTTTTTTGAGACGTCAAAGAAGAAACAAATAGTGAATCATCGGCAAAAACTGTATAACTGACGTCAAGTTTTTGAGACGCATCCTCTAGAAATGAGCATTTTTAAATGAAATGTGATTCAATACTAATATAAACCCTTGTCCGCACTAACGTGTTTATAGTATTTGTGTCATATTACACCCATATATTGTCAAATTACAGATACTTGTCACAGAAAACTAAGTTGGTAGTGTGGACATACCTTAAAGTCATTATTTAACGTGACAATATTTGTTATTTTTCCATATATGTGCATATATGTATGCATATGCATATATATGGATGTATGTGCTGTACATATATGTGCATGATAATTATGTTCTAATTTGAATTTTAAAATAGATAGTGCATGCTACCTAATTCCTCGCCGACTACGAGTAAGACGAAAGCATATTATTCACATTTGAATAATTAAAAAAAAACTTTTAATGCTGAAGGCGTTTGAGGATGGACATGTTCCAAAATGACGGCGTACTGTAGCGAAAACCCTCAGCGACAAATAGAGTAAACAAAAATAAAACGTGGAACCCCTAGAAAGAGGTCTACTGTAATTGGTTGGATTGGTTTCCGTTTTTTATTAGGGAGATTTTGCAATCTTACAAAAACGATAACGAATACGAATACGTCATTATCATTATCGTCGTTCGTGTCAAAACATTCTTTACAATACGAGCTGCATATGATCCTTGATTCATGCAAAAGGCATAACTCGCCTGCGTTGTGACAGACATGCTACTGTAGGTGAAGGGTGTCTAAAACTTTGATGACGTAACCGTATTCGTTTTCGTTTTTGTAAGCTTGCGAATACTCTCTATCATTATTTGTGAAGGGGTTAATGTTAACGTGTATAAATATTATTCTTTTGGGGGGTTTTTATTGTCTCTTCAAATCGTAAAATCGTATTGTTTATATTCATTATCATCATCATTAGGTCTATACCTATTATTATGAAACACAATTACCCGCAAACTGAAAGATCCATTGAATAACCTCATATAAGGCCCAGTGTACACAAATGCTCATGTGCATTTTAAAGAACCCAGTACATCTTTTGAGATGAGTAGAGGGTTATCCTTGTGTACTGGTTCACTCGGCCCCTGTCGTGGACAGATGAAAGTGCGCCAGGACATGAATTGACCCTCAGGGGAGGAGAAAATTATTGAAAAGTGCAACATCTAGTCCCTAACGCATAGAGACCTCGTTTATCTGCGCTATATAAATCCATCTATTATTATTGTTGTTATTATTATTATTATTATTATTATTATTATTATTATTATTATTAAGATACATACTCTAAGTATCGAAATGCACACCATCGTGTCGGGATTTAATATTTCGACATTAATTATGTCATCATCAGGAACAGTTACCCTCATCATTAACATTAATGTCATCTTCAACGTCGTCGTCTTAATTGTCGTTATCTTCCCCCTTTACTCTTTCCTATAGTAACATGTGTGGTTGCATGCAGTTCATTAATAAGTTACAATCAGACTTACCAATGCCAACAAATCTTCCGATCTCTCCTGGTAAGGTACATGCTACGTCTATGTCATCGTCGGGGATTCCATTGTAGATGTTAACATTACTCTTCCCGAGAATTCCATGTACGGATCCGTTAGAGCGGGCGACAGCAAAACTAATACCTTCGTGCACGGCAATACCGCCATAAGACCGTGCTGTCACCGATAGGTGTGGCTCATCCAAAACAAAGTTGTCTAAATTCAGCAAACAATTTATGTTACAACTTGTTTTGTAGGATAAGAGATAGGCCCTAATTAAAAATAATGCTGATTTAAAGCTTGAAAATCTATCATTGAATTAGCTGGTAGTCAAGTCAGTGCAGTCCCAGGAAGGGGCCAGGGAGCAGCTTGCACAGGTGGAGGGTCTACACCATCTTAGCCCCACCATGGGGCTAAGGTAAGAACATTTATGATTATGGCACCTCTAGATGGCCAGAAATGGCACTCTTAGATTTAAATTTGAAGAATAATTTTATTTTTTCTCCAGTTTTTAAAATATTTTTTTAAATGTAGGGGGTGGCTGCCCCCACCCCATATACACACACCCTTGAATCCGCCACACTACAAGGTAAGTAAATCCTGTTGCATAAATCAGCAAAGATACTTTTAATCGCATTGGCAATTATCTTTCTAAATGACGAATTCAAATTTAATATTTTAATATAAATAATAATATAACGATAAAGGGTTTATCCAAGTTTTTATCAGCGATTATATATTCACAAAATGTAAATAAATATTCAAGCATTACGTGAGAAACGTTCCATACCTTGCATTGTGTGTGTCATAGATATTATTCGATCTAATGACTTGACGATAGTTGAAGAAGCTTCGGCCGAATGCACAGTCCCACTCTCAATCACATTGTCTACTACTTTCACTACAGAACCAGTAAGCTAACAAAATTGCCGGTATAATTTTATTACTTGTCATATCAAAAACTAGTGAAATTTTATAGAAAAACAAGTCAGCCATAAGCCTACATAGGCCTTGTAAATCTACCTAATTATTATATATTCGCATTAGTTATTATAATCGCAAATATTGGATACAGTCGTCAGTCCGATATTTGAGAGAAAGGACATAATAATCTGATTCTAAACGCACATCCTAAAAATCATGTTTTAATGCTGTGAAATTTTTAAAATAAATGTTGGCATTATTTTTACTTTCAACAATCAACCATGGTTTTATATACCTTGACCGATGCTTCCTCGAAAACACTAACTTTGTCCATTACATTTGCAACCAGTACAAAACCTTCTGAGTCGAGTTGAGCGCCCTCTGTAAACGCCTCCAGCTGGTTCATCACATTCACAGCGTTTTGAAGTGTAATCGACCCCTTTATTTCATTGATAAACAAAAACGGAAAGCTATTTAAAATCTCTCATAACAATATATAATGATGTTTCCATATTTAATAAAGACATCATACTATGCCAAACACCTGTTTTATTATGTGAGATTGTTGATAAAACTTACACGTCATAATGTAGGGCAAAGTTGAGACTATAATTATAAAAATCTTTATTAATGTGTTTCCCTTTTACTTAGTGGTATGTCGATTGAAAGTGAATCATAAATTTATTATTAGACCAGTGTACCAGAAATCAATCGCCTTACTCATCATAGGCCTATAAAATAGTCTAGTATATACGCGAAGTAATGACGTATTAATAACATATCCTGTGTAAAACTTACCAAATTGATCCTTACACCATCATCCTCATTGTCTAACGTCATTTCTACATGCAACAAAAAGAAAATGTTTTAAAGTCTATAATTAAAGTAGCAAAATAGGGCATACACAAATGTTATAACCATCATGAAATTTATATTATACTATGAACAAATTGAATAAGGAAAAACGGCAGCTGGCACAAAATTATTTTATAATATTACAATAATCACATTGAAATCGAAGACACCTTCTTTAGAACAACGTAAGCTGTACTGTATATTCAGGGAAAACTGGGCACACAGACTGCGCCGACGATGTGATTTTACGAAGAAACGCGACATAGCGCTCGCAACGAATTGTTTTTAATGACGACCAAGACTGCTACCGACGATCCATAATATGTGCCCAGCTTAAAGTTGATCAAAATGCGGTTCGCGATAATGCTTCACAGGGATGATGCTCTATCTGCAGCCTTTATCATCAATTGGGCGTGGTTTGAATCACAATCCCACATCCTCCAAGGCGGGTAGTGGTTTACAAGCTACTGTTCTTGCCAAGGACCTTACAGAAAGTAATTGATGTCTCACAAATAAACGCTAAACACTACCACTAAAGAAATTCAGCCAACAAATTATGAATATGAGACCGTACCAAAATCCTGAAACCAATCTTGTTTTAGTTAAAGTATTCCCCCGCACTACCGTATTTTATCCAAGATTCGCTTATTTATATAAAAAAAAATGTTGTAAAATATAAATATGTGCTAAGTTATTTGTATTTTCGGCTCCTGTATTTCCGAAATGAATTTCATTTTTAATGATTATCCACTCACTCAATTTTATGTAATATATACGATAAAGACTACTGGAGTCGTATGCCTACTTCCAAAGCATATCGGAAATATCAGTGATTATGATAAACGTTACGACTCCTAAAAAATGGAAGTATTGACATTTACATTTACCCCTAATGGTAGAGATAAGAAAAGAGAGACTAAAATAACTGACATAGAATAAATAGTTCGGTTCGCATGCAGCACTGGATTTTCACTCAGTGGCTTAACGACGAGTCATGGGGCCCGGGTCGAGAACATTTTGAGGCCCCTTGTATATCAGCAAAGTATTTTCGCTAAAATTGTATTAACTATTATATAGGCAATGCCAAAAGATATCTTGTGACTTTTTAACAATTAGCCTAATCAACTAATATTTTGCATACACATTTTTAATTTGAACGTTAGCGTACAACGTATTTTGCGTATTTCCTCAATTATGGATGAATTGCTACAAAGGAAGCTTCAGACCTCACAGAACAAAATCATTGATTTCATTTTGAATCTTGGTTCTAGGACACATGTTGGTTCATCCGAACGTTCGATTGTTGGATTACTAAATGTCAAAGATAGTGTTGAATACTTGAGGTTGTGTCGCGCTTTTAAGATTTACAATGAGACAGTCCCTCCTATATGCAGGATTTTTTTTCCCCATAAGTTAAACACTCTTAAAATTCAAGTGTTAAAATCCAACATTTTGTGGGTGTCATGAGTTTTTTAAGGTGTTGGAAACTGTGTTAAAGTGTTGCAAGGTGTTGCTTTCATAAACACTTTGTTTAAGTGTTAAGCAACGCTTTCACAGTGCGCATGTCGTAACACTTGAAGTAAGTGTTAACAGCGCCGCCATCGCAACGAGCGCGGCCAGATTCAACATTTTGAAAACGATTGCCATTAAGCAGGCCACTGTTCCCTGGTTAAAGAATAGTTATTGCCATAATACTAGAGGCAGCAACAACAATAATGTCAGTGTTCCTAGTTATGGTGGCGATGCTCATAATACTTTTTTTAACCAAGCGATAAAAAAACTGGAATGTCCTCCCACGAGATATAAATATGTGTCCCTCACTTGATTTATTTAAGATTAAAATTAAAGAATACCTCAAAGCAAAAGCCCTCGATACAGAAAATGCACAGGTTTTGTACTTGCGACTTCAACTTTTGATGTTTTAAATTTTTATCAATTTTATTATTTTTACTTTTTATGACCTTTTTTATATGCATTCTTCTATTAGGTGATGGTTTTTAGAGCCCATTGGTAATAAATCCTCTTGGAATTTAATGGGTTGTCTAAGTATCCCCATCATTCTGTTCGAAAGGTGTATATAATAAGAAAAACGATAAATTAATACCATTTCTACATTTTTACATAATGATTATATTTTATTGCTATTTCTAGCTTCGAGCTTTGTTATCTATCTCGATGTAAATTGCTAAATTGATCTTTCTAATGTTTGATGTTTGTAATGTTTTGCTTTTTAATGATGCCGAATAAATTCAATTCAATTCAATATTGATCTAAGTTCCAATGAACCTTCCAGCAAAGCATTATCAACCATTCATTCAATCAATCGTTATCAGAGGCGGATCTTGGTAACATGGGAAATACCCTTTCCCACAAAAAAAAAAATGGAAAAAAGAGAGATTGAAAAAAAGAAAGCCCAGAAAGAGGGAAGAACGGTACCGATAGGCCTACTTCAAATAAGCTTTTATTTTTACTTTTACTTCTAATAACTTCCCCATAAGTCACGCAGGCGTTACACAACTGGTCAAAGCTCCATATTAAAATGCTGGTCGTAGTAGGTGGGGCCTGGGTCCTCTACTATTTGAAAATTATAGAAAAAGTACCGTATTGTCAAGGCATTGTAGTGGAGTGCTGAGAAGTATTAAGAGGGGCCCCATAGCCTCTCCATGGCCTATGGACTGAGACTGGACCCCAGGAAAACACACATGCGTTACGCCAAGTGCTAGGTAGTAACAACATTCCCGCTTATCTGCTCATCCAGCCTTCCAATGCTGTAGTTTATTAAGTAGGTTTTAGTTTCATAGGATAACATCAACTTTTTTCAAAATGTCAAACTCAAAGAGCTCAATCATCAAGCGCATAGAGGCGTTTTCGCATTATGCGTTATGCAAATCCAACTATTATTATTATTATTATTTATTATACCTATGAGACACCATCTGCCCAAAACATACAGACAGCCATTGATAAAATCGGCAAGGTGTATTGGAGTTGGGTACAGGCCTACATGAAAGAAAGCAAGATTCCACTGTTCAGGTTTGACCGTACATTATGTGTTTGCGTGATTCAGCTATTTCTAAGTTATAAAAAAAATTTAGCAACTGTAACTCATAGTATGTAGCTATTAAACCACTTTAATCTATTAAATCGGTTAAATCCACTTCTCGGCAGCAGACTTCCTCCGCTTCATGACATACAGGAAAAACACAGATTCATCAAACTTTTGACCCGAATCCCGGATCTGAGAAGAGCCTACCTCGAATAGTGACGTTAAATGAGCAGCTAACATGATTCTGTGACGTGTCGACGGCATGGTAGGTGATAAGCGTGGTCCCGAGACCAAACCAGCTGCCCGGGGGCCGAGATACGCTAACGATGACAGTGTCAGCACGATTATCTTGTGCTATTGGTTTCCCCCATGTTACAGACATCGCATGCTGATTCGCTGGCAGTATTTTTACGATGCTGGGTGGACAGATTAAGACGGGAGGTATTCTATCTGTGAAAGCATATCAAACACAGCTTCGTGAAAGGATTAAACAATTAGGTCTAGAGGTTTTTCTTATAACTTTCTCTTATGTATCTTTGCATTTAGCTGCAGTATAAAGGTTTCAAATGCATCAGATGGTAATGTGGGGGATACCACAATTTCTGTTTTACACACTGCTAGTGAGTTTATGTAGCCCTGACATCACATTGTATAAAGTACAAAACTCCGTAATGATAATAATAATAATAATAATAATAATAATAATAATAATAATAATAATAATAATAATAATAATATGATGATGAATAAATAGGAAAACAAGCAAAATAATAAAGTAATAGAATAAAACATTAATTTAATCAGAAGAGGATTTCATAATTGTGAGTGTATTCTCCAAAACGTAAACACAATGTTCTTAATTATATCAAGCTTCACGAACCTGAACAATATAAGAGGTAGTCATGGCAACAATCAAGTAGATACCCATTTTTACACGATGAATCACACTGACATGGTCTGGATGATACGAAGCTGGAACACGACCCTCGACAACTTGCTAAAATATAAAATATGAAAAAAATATGATCTCGGCCAATGTTTGAGAACATTGAATCCCTAAATGCAGTCGAGTTTAGTTGATCTAAACATTATTCGTTTAATTTTATTCATATGTTGCCAAACATTGGAAATGTAAGGTAACATGATGCTTGGAAACGAATGCAGTTTAAAATTCACCTGAAAGGTAACGGCCACTAAGATGTTAGAGTTGTAATCTATATTTAAATTTTATAATCACTTAAAACATGTAAAATTAATTTCAATAAATCCAAAACCGATAAATCATCATGCACGGTATTGCATTTACAATTGTGACCGTCATTAGGAGATTATCTTGAATTTGAGTCATAGAGGAATTGGTCCAAATCATTTTGTGCTATCCACTATCATTCAACACTTAAACTGATTTTGTATCGATTCATGAGAATTTTACAAATTTACAATTGGTCAGATTACGTTACAAGTACGGAAAAGATCTCAGTATCGGTGATACATCGAAATAAGTACTACTAAGATTAAGATGTCTGTTGCTAACTGTCACTGATTACATGTATTCGAGTCATAGAGTGATACATCAACACACTAGCCGGTGCACTCCAATTGCATATGCACAATTTAATTTTATTTAAGTAGTTCTAATAATTTGGACACTGAATTTGGATTTCTCATTTACATTGTATGTTTAGCCTTTTTATAACACACATTATATATAATGTGTGTGCACGGTATACCGTACACGATTTCAACATTTTATATGGTCCATGTGCACAGTAAAGAATGTAGTACACTCGTTGAAAACAGTAGGGAATTGCCTTCCGGTGCACCGTCCAGTTCACCACGAGAAGTACCAAACTGGAAACCAGTTTAATGATAATAAGAAAACATATTTTTTATGGTTTTTAAAAAGGTGATGCCTATTTCAAAGGATGGTGATTAATTCCATTAATAGGCCCTACTATGTAGATATTTACAGTATAATGTTAATGGTCAAAATAAAGAGAAGCGAGGTTGGAGTTGGTTGCACAGTATGGCGTAAACAACTGACGAAGAATGAGACACACACAGTTCCCAAGGTGGCGGAAGAAAGTCTTGCGAATTAGTGCACGTGCTGGTCTCAGCATGGATCAACAAGAGTGTTTCAATAAATAATCGTATTTGGCTATCTCATTTATTTATTTAATTTCATGGGGGAATTCTTACAACAAAGCTGATTCAAAGAGGCCATAGGATAGTACTGTACATACAAATATATGTAAATATCATAATAAGATACTACAAAAAAACTATAGAATTTCATCAATTATTAATGAATACAAAATTTCAAAATCTATAAACAAACTCTGACACGTTTTCAGAATATATCAATATGTGTACCGTATATTTATATCCTATATTAGATTAAATTAAGTTAATTAAGTTAGAGGCTAAAATTAACAACTTTAATTCGCAATGCAATTGGCGATTTAATCTTAAATTGTACTTTATTGAAGCTGTTAATTTTAGCGAAAACTTAATTAATCTCATTTAATCTAATATATTTAGGATGGTAGTCCCAAGAGAAATGCTGGATTACCTCTAAAACAGCCTGAAGCATCCACTCATCTCTATTATTTTATCAGCCTGAATGATCAATCCTATTCAATAATAGTTACAATACTGATAATAATGATGACTGAAATAAGAAAGGAATCGCCATATATTATTTTATTTGTGCTCATCACAAACAAAACAGAAGAACTAGAAGAAATGTTCGATCAACTAAACAAAAAAAGTAAAAATATCGGATTAAAAATAAACAAGAAAGACGAAAGTTATGCTCAATGCTTATGCCAAATCCAATCAAATCGAAGTCACTATTGAGATCATAGGAACAACCAATAAATAAGAACTCAAGTGAGGGGAGTGTTTTTGGAAACTTAAACAACATCATGTGAAAATTAACATGTTGCTATGCTTAAAACGTAGAATATTCAATTAGTGTATATTAACATTTATTACCTACGGAGCAGAGAGACAACATGGGCAATGACTACGAGAATGTAGCAAAAACTAAAGGCAACACAAAGAAGCGTGGTGCATGTTAGGTATCACCAGGCTAGACTGGAAAACTACCGTATTAAATGAATCAGAGAGCAAACAAGAATTCACTGTGTTATACAAGAAGTTAAAAAAAACGGAGATTGGCAGCAAATGGAGGAAATTAACAAGGGAATGGACACCAAGATTAGGAAAACGAAGTAAAGAAGACCTAAAATCAGATTAAGGGAAGAGATCGTGGGATTTGGCGGAATATCCTGGATAAGAGCTGCACAGGCCAGTCGTGGATGGTTTCACCTTGGGGAGGCCGACTAAAATGATGATAAATTCGTTAAAAAATTATTTATATATTTATTTATTTATTTATTGATAATAAATAATTATTTAATTTATTTACAAATCGACTGATTTATGTATTGGTTAATTGATTGAGTGAATTATTTCCAGGCATACTGGGAAACTATAAGCCAGTGTCATTCAAGTTTACTAGAGTGTCCGGTATGTTTTTTGATCATTATGTTTATTGTAATATAGTACTGTACTACAATAATCTTAAAACCACATGGCATATGACATCCAATTTTGTGTTTATGCATTGATGAAGTAGTCATGAATTTAAACTTCGGAGGAAGAATAATTTGCAAATGAGGTTATATAAGAAGCATAATGTTATTATAAACGCTTGATTGTAGTTGGAACTTGAAAATGCTTCAAATTTGTAAAAGTAATTGGACCTGACTTATCGAAGTTGAATAACCAAAACCGTATTGTATTAGGTTTGCTAACATTATGTATGTTAACCCAAAGTTTCCTCTTTAAATCCCAACAAAACATCGTTGATTAATTAGGGGTAAATACATATTCTTTCAATAAATTGTTCTGAAATAATAACTACGCATAACCCATAATATTTATTTTGTTAGATAAGCAGCATCAGGATAGCATGTTAACGTAATACCGTAGGCTCATGTTAACAAGTTTGGACAAGTAAAGCTAAAGATGCCAAGATCAATCACTAGATTTCATTGACAAGCGAATGACGGATGACAAAGTGATAATGGAAAAGTAAGTGGACATCCTCTTGACAGGTTTGTTACAAACATGTAATATTTGGCTGTTTCATACGATTTTTCTCTTTCCTCCCAAAAAATGAGTAGGATATCGTCGTTGTTACATAATTATTTCAGCAACTGACCCCACTGCGCTCAAATCTTGTCCACCGTCCCGGATCCTACAATTCTCAGTAACCATGATATTCACAACTCCAAAAAGTTAATATTTTCATAACATTCTGTTTTCGTTATGTTATCATGGTAAACACACATCATCACTTTGACCGATATTTACATAGTGATAGCTCTGCCAAAGCGAAGTTGTGGGTTCGGTATTATTTCGTCCTATCATTGAGCTAGCTCTGACGATAATCAGCCATCAATTCCCAGTTAAAATTAATGTACATGGCAGTTTACTCCCGCCGGAATATTCAATCTTTTATTGATATAATTGTTTGCAAAGTTTCAAAATAAATGCCATAACAGGAAAAGAGACAATATAAATAATGTTTGTGCACACAACGAATGCTCAAATATTTTAGAGAAAATTAATCGATATTGTTAGCAATAATGTTATAATTTTTTTTTGTAATTGGTTAAACTACGAAACATCTAGAAAGTATAATGTGGGCAAGTATGATGTGGAAAAGGTCTAAAGGAATATGCATAATATGTCATCAATCATCAACATCCGTGATATCAGTTTGGGCATGTTAGCTTCATGAGTTTCAAGCAGAAACACAAGCTGTACCAACAACACTATCTTGAATCATGCCTCACATTATAGATATCGGCCATAATAACAATAATAATGTTCTGGTTTCACGTATGTCTTGCTAATATACCTAGCTAGTTCAATATTGTGAGCGAAACATACCTGTATGAGGGTGTATATATATATACATATATAACTTATATTTTGTGGTCCAATCAACTAATTGTATTGATAACTTGATTCTGATTGGTTTATTATTCTTTATGTATATGTAAGATCTCCCAAGTTTTCTCACTTTAACGTTGATGAAGATAGCAGTAGCTATCGAAATATCCGTTTGATTTTGTTATAGCTTAATAAATTTGTGTTCCGCAAGTCAACTTTCAATGATTGTACATCGTTTTTTCATTGCTTTTGCATTTTATTTTACTTGGAGCATACATGCAAACCCACTCTTCAATATATATACTTATATATATACATATATATATATACATATATATATATACATATATGTATATAATTATACATATTATAATATAATTATATGTATATATATTAGATAACGTATACTCATTATCGAGACACTAAACTTAATATTACGCATCTTAAAATTCCATTTGAAAATTAAAATTTTATAAATAATGCATTTTTATTGAGAGGTTAACTTTCTTAAAGGAAGAATGAGTCACATGGTATACTACTAAACTAACCTAATCTAAGTTCAGTTATTTTATCTGTATTCCCTAGTCTCCCTTATATACACTAATTAATCCCATTCCCGCAATATCAGGGCTTTATCAAAATTCACAACCTATCGTGGCTTACAAATTAAAAATTTAAAGTGGCCCTCTCATTAGCTGACGTGTTAGTGATTTTTTTAAAGCTTAATTTACAAAAAATTAGACGCATTTAATCCTCTTTAGTAGCGTTGCTTTCGTTTGCGTCAAAAATGCTCTAGTGTGTAAACCGAGCTTTAGTGACGCATGCGCTGATATTGCTGTTTGAATATAAAGCTGGGTTCACACTATGAAATTTTATGTGACCAATCTGTGTGATGTGCCAAGTCATGGTGATACCATACGGGCACATCACACAGCATTTAATAGTGTGGAAGGAGTGAAGTGCGACTACTTTCATAACCTTTAAACCTTTATAAATAAAGTGTATTGTGTGAACCAACGTCCATGATTTTAGTTAATTTGATTCAGGCCTATATAAACCATATTATTGGGAGCAAATCTGTATGGTTAACACTTATAAACAAATATGATAAATTAGTGATTGACTAGAGTATAAATACATTAAATAAACCCTTTTACCAAAATATGTCAATAATGGAAGTTCCCAATAACTCGTTTCCAAGGGATGTCACACTCTTCTGTTTATGAGCAAAATTGTTTGAGCTACACACAATAATTTAGATACATTTGGCCTTTTTGGGGTGTATATATGCCCTATATTAATCATACCTGTGCCACGTGCTTCCACTATAAAAAAAATATATAGATAAGCTTACCTCGTTGCTGCTCTGTAATATTAGAGACCAAGAAAATAACTAGAAGGTGTAATAAACGCATTTCTATATTAGGTAAGACTGATTCAAACGACTTGGACTTCTCGCATGTAAAGTCGTCTAGTATTCGTGACTAAGAAAGTATTTGCTTGCCCTCAAGTATCGGAACTTTTAACTCTAGTCTTGCAACACTAGTCGATACAAGATTAAGCTAGTGATACATAACTTACAGAGTATCGGATTGGTCCAAAGTATGACGTATAATGATATGTTCGTTAGATGACGCCCTCTATACTAATATGAATCGTCAATGCTATTACTATAGTCTGTTGTTGGGTCACAAGTAGATACTATTCCATAAACACTTATGATGAACGGTACTTTGAATCACAGAGCTTCTGAAATAGTTCTTATCATCAATTATCATCACTACTTTTCTCGTTAAAGTTACATCATCATTTTTTTCTGTCACTATTTTACTTCCGTAATATTCTGTCCACTCCATCATTACCTCATTTTCTTGTGACTGCATTTAGGCCTACTTGTATGAGTTTCCCAATTAACGTCATTGCTAAATTATTGCAATCAGTTCAGACGTATGCTGCAACAATTACTATAGGCCTACAGCACACACACACACACACACAACTAGGCCTACTAATACACACAGGAGGAATTACAGTAATGCAACGTACTGAACGAGAACGTTAATAGGTAGTTTTCGCACCACGACGTTAATCTTAAACTTTAACGTTAGTACCCAACATGCAGCGCGATAGCGCCGCCCCTTTTGTAAACAAATCGAAATACGCATTCGCAAACCCATAACTAACGTACATAACGTCCTCCGCACCGCAAGATGAATAAATTATGACGTCATCCGTTAACGTTAAGGTTAACGAGTGCGGCGAAAACTGCCTAATAGCGTTTACTATTACGTAACAGTATGAGCACTGTAATACACAATATAGATTTGTGTGAGAGTTTGCACCGTACAGGGCTTGTTAGCAATGAACTCAAACTAAAAAAACAAATTGATTTGTACATTCAGTTCTATTTATTTACAGGTTTAATTTATGTTAAAAGCATGGTTTCTGTGATAAGCTATAAATGTAACACTTAAATACAACTGCACGCGGTATAGAACTATATTTAACGTTAAGTTATTAGCGTTTACTTAAAAATAACATAAAATTTTTTTTTATAATTCTCGCCAATACGTTGTAATGGAACTAGGGTCATGTGTTCAAATCCTGTAACAGCACAGGCCTTTTTTTTCCCTCATGACTAACAAAATATCTCCACTTTCCGCAAACTACGCTGACTAATGACAGCCTGGGGACTAAATAGTTACTGTTCCCGGATCTTTAAACTAAGGGCGCTGGGCGAACCCGCGTGGAGCGCTAAAGTATTATTACTATGGGGTATTAGATTAGAGATTATTTAATAGAGATTAATTTCTGATCACGTCAGAGACGCATCTGTGTGATGTGATACGTATCTGAATTACCATTTTTCCTTCTAAAAAGGCGCCATACCCCGCAGGCGTATCGGTTTGTGATGGGACATAGACAGGGTAATCCACCACTAGGTCGACCAACACCCTTTATGACAATGGTTAAAGAAAAAAAAAATTAACAGACGAATATCCTCGATTATATCATTAAGTTATTACTAATAATTCCATGCTTATACCACCAAATGGGCTTGTAACTTGTACTGGTAATACATTTAAACATTTTTGTAGCAAATGGAAAATCACTACTGAAAGCCAAATTGCTTTGATCTGTGTGATCCTAATCCTTATGATTCCATAGTACCATGCTTATACATTACCATACCAAGTGTCATGGACTGTAAAAAGGGACGGGACTTGATTATTGAGGTTCCTGAATGATCAGGTCTCAGATCACCATCAATAAATATATTGCAAACCGTTCTGGACATATAGGTCCTTTTTTTAACGAGTAGACATATAAAAAAAAAACTTCAATAAAAAGGCACATTTAAATCATAGTTTAAACTACATTAACAACTCTAATTTTACCATAAGTAACATCGTTTCAATATATTCACTTCAATGTTTCATTAAAATTAGGTATTTTTACACATTTATATTTCATAAACATACGTTAGACATTTACAATTATTTTACAATGCATAAGCAAAAAATATAGCAATCTTAATTCTAATATACACACGATAACAGGTTTTAAGAGCCTTCGATGTAACATTCATAACATTAGGCAACTGAACACAGCACAGACTTCCGTTAATTAATCATAAATAATTTTTTCCTTGCATAAATATCATTCAAATGGCAACTAATGGCATTAGGAAATAACTAGCACGACCACTTTAGAAAATAAACTTCTTCATTAGCGCCCTCGTGCAGTAGTTTTTACTGTGCTTGACTACTGTATTTCGAAGGCCAATGCTTATACACAATCATGGCTTACTCTTCTGATTCTATTAGTTATTTGATATTGAGCCCACAATTATCACTACATCGGTGCATTCTGTAACTACTGTTCTGTACTTAAATCTAGCATAGTGCATTAACTTATAACAAAACTCATGTTTGTGTACGTACTACCATTGATGTCAACATTGTATAATCGATACATATCTCTTAAAATGTCGTTCTATTTTAGACAGCGTATTTATTATTTTATTTATTTATTTATTTAATTAGGCCTACATGTCATACCAGGATGACACGATCATTTAGGAAAATTACAGTGTGATCCTATTATTTGCAAACACAAGAGTTTGATTAATTATGCGTTTTCACAATGCTACTACAGCAGATTTCCTTATTGATAGGTTCTTTTATCAATGAGGTATACAGTATCTTAGTATCACTGTTTTTTTTTCTTTATAAAAGTAATAAGGCCAAATATACTTCGAAATCAACTCACCACCCTCAACAATTATTGTTCTGTTTCGTTGCCTTGATTGCATCACTTACTTTATCGAGCTCTACGATAGAAGAGCGTCTAAAATTTTGAGAGGTGGAGTTATCCGTAATTGTTGTGTCATACTTCTGTATTACAGATTGCTTGGTTCGCTGCGAACTGTGGAATGCTGAATTTAAATATCGGTCTGATCCGTATAGAATCTTCGCCTTCCATGTGTTTCGAATCTCTTGATTTCTCAGACAGAAAAATATGAAGATAATTAAACCCTGAAAAGAATTAAAAATGCAGAAGAGAACCTCAAACACTATTGAGGCTGGGGAAGCCATGGAAAGGAAGCCGAAGGCCCAGGTTAGGCCTAGCAGGATAGAGACGGCAAACGCGTTTTGCAGTTTTCTGATTGTTTTGTTAGTTTGCTTTCCTTTCTCTGTAGCCTGGCTAGATGGTTTCATACGAGCGCCGAACAACTCCTTCATTACCAGAACATAAACAACAAAGTTGAATAGTAGAATTATCGCGATCATCATAAGTAATCCAAAGTATAGCCCATAACCAGGAATTAAAAAACAACTGAAAAACAGAACAGAAATATGGATATATCAAGTGTTTATCATTGTGTTTTTTAATCATCATTATCATCATCATCATCATCATTATCATCATCATCATCATCATCATCCTCATCATATCATCATCAATATTATTACTATTACTATTATTACTATAACTATTATTATTGCTATTGCTATAATTGATATTGCTATTATCAACATTATTATTAATATTATTATTTTTATTATTATTATTATTATTTTATCGGTTTGCTGATAATAATATTATTATAAGGCAATTGAGGGTAGTCACTCAACTTTGTTGGGAAACAACATACCGTACACTTTGTTTGACAGTGTAATACCGGAACATCTTATGTAACAAAAATTACTGGCATTAACTGATTTAATATACTAATCTTTTTCTGTATCTATCCGCCTTCCAAACATATTTAATTTAGTTTAGTTTACGATCATTTTTTGTAGTTAGTAAACTGTTTAATTTCAATTTTTCATGTTTTTTTTTTCTCAGATTTCTCAGAAGTCTTTACCGAAACGTTACTTACTATGAATTGTTTACATACTGCCCTCTATCGATAGCCAATATCACTCCAATGATGATTGCCGGTGTGCCTAAAGCAAATGAAAACAGTAAATACATTATTTATAATGAACATCATAAGAGCAAAGAAAAAATTATGTAGTCCTGACGATAAAAATATAGTCGATTTATAGTTTGGTAAAATGATAGTCCCGTGTGACTAAATAGTTCCTATTCATTATGATAATCAATTATACTTCCAGCGGTTTCGACACAATAATAATGTCTTTATACTCACCCCATGAAACTAAGCAAGCTTTCAGCAAGAAATGAGAAATATGAGAGTTGAACACCTTGATCAAATTGTAGTACATTCCAAGAGCTTCAGTTGCCATCCACAGCAGACTCGAAAGCACAAAGTAGTGCAGAAGAACCGCACACAGAGTGCATAGCCATTTGATTTTATTGACAAATAGACTTCCGATAAATGTTAGGTAAAGACAGGTCAGCGAAATGCTGATGTTAATCAATATTTTATGGTGGCGCTTCACTCGCAAACGTCTGTTAAAAAAATAATATTACGTATAAAAAACGCATCCACAAAAAGATATGTATGCTTGTCGATAACAAAGCAATTAGTATAGTGTCTTTTTTAGCTCCGATGAGGAGCTCTAAAAACATTCGGCTGATTGATTAATAGATCTTTTTTGTATGGGCGGCCGTTAGTGCCAATATACTCTACTAAGAAACACTCGGCTGATCGGCCTCTATTATACTGCTATCAACGGAGCTTCTGGATTACGAGAACTTATTTAAACCATGGAGGAATTCCTCCATGTTTAAACTGAGACGGGTGTTAGATTTGTAACCACATGAGCTTTTCACTATTCATTAGCTGCGACAATAATTTCTTCACATACAATAATTTTTTCTTATAACGTTAAGCACTCACTGCGTCGTACGACGGTCGTACGAACGTCGCACGACGAATCCACCTCTGCTTCCGGCCATCTGCTGATTTTCAGTGGCAGTCTGAACGGATCCTCATTTAAAAAGAGATCCGTTGGTACCGCGACGTCTCGTGCGTTCGTCGTCGCGTTGCTGTCAGGTCGCCAGCGCGCGCAGTGAGTACCTGGCTTTAAGCCGGTTTTCCCCTAGGCAAATTTATTCGAGCGAATCAAAAGCGTCGGTTCATACACATGCGCATTCTTATTTCTATCGGAGTTTTTGGTAGCGAAAAAATGTGCAACCAATCAGAGCTCAGGAAGTGAACCGACGCTTGATTCACGCTAATAAATTCGCATAGTGGAAAACCGGCTTTAGAGATAGCGCGAAACTAATCTGTCATTTCCTCTACCACACACTAACTTTATAAAACGAAGTTTATCATATCGAGGAGCGATCATATGTAATAGCCTCAGCATCATTAAAGAACTGTTAATATTTTTTTTAATTGTTAAGGCTTACTTTTAAATTATTATTAATTTTTTAACCAATATATTTATTATTGTCGTCAGGAACTTGATTGAATCTCTACTGCTGTACTTGTTTTCGTGAAGTTTAGCATTAGATGCGCTTAGGTATTTGACATCATGATTTCTTAATTATAAATACGTGAAGATACTAAGCCAGGGGCGGATCCAGAGATGTCCAAAAAGGGGGGGGGGGGCGATATTTGGACCGATCGAGACAACACTGAGATAGGAGGTCCGCGAAATTTCTGGGCTTTAGACGCCCGAAAGTAACATTTGAGACGTTCTGGGCTATCGTTTTTTCTTTTTTTTCTCTCTCTCTTTTTTTTCTTTTTTTTTTCTTTTTTTTTACCTCCCTACCTACCTACCCGCCCCCCTCTAAATCCGCCCCTGTAAGCACATTAACATATATATCTACACGCGTTTAGTTTTAAACGTTGCGTGCTTTGCGCTTAAATCCTCTGTTTTTACAGTGCAGCTACTATCAAGGATACTTTATGTAGAAACAACATGCCAACTTAACAGAACTGAGAAGAAATTGAGAGATGTTGGACAGAATAAAATGGAAAAAGAGGCTAACACCATTGACAGGCGGAAGCCTACCTGGGAGCTGAAGTAAGTAAGTATTAACATTGAATTAACAGAATGATGCATATATAATACCGTTTTTCGTTACAACATTTTTTGAGTCGAACGCCATGATGCGCGCAAATCAGATCGTCGTTTTTAATGACGATCCGTTCAGACGGCCACAAACAATCAGCCGACGGCGCGCTCAGCTTAATTGTTACATTGCATGAGGGTTTCTGAATTTTATCACAAACAATAAATCTTAAACGAATACACGTTAAACATATGGATTTTATGTCTAATTGACAAATAATAATTAATCTTATAAAATAAGCATACCATAAGAACAGCGAAATTAGTTAAATGGTTACAGTGACACTCGACACTGCCATCGTCAAGCACATTTACAAGTTCACAACCATCCTCAGCCCAATCACCGACACCATTTCTGAGATTGAAATTCCAGTATACACAGTGTGTGATATTCCGTGTGACCAGGTCAGTCTGAAAGACAGTACATCATCGTCACATGAAGAAAGTTAATAACGAGGAAATCGGAAAGGAAGGAAGTCTGTCTACTGAATAGGTAAGCGTTAGGAACATTTATTTTGGAACATCATCGTGTACTTGAAAACCACAGTGATCAATATTAGGTCTAATGAATTTTAAACAATAGACACGTTTGTAAAACCCTATAGGCCTAATTCTCAAATTATCACTATCAAGTCAACGACTTAATCCCACACATTACCAATGTGAATTCATGAACATTCCTTTATATAAATTTCTGGAACTATGTCTAATTTATGCAAAGAATATTGATTGATTGACACACCTTTGGTCTTCTGAAGACAATCACTACCGGTTCACTGAGGTCCTTAACATCAACCCCAACGACGGACGCAGAAGCTACGCTACTGTGAAGAGTTTTATGCTTGTTTTCGTCGTCGTCTGATACAAATAGTTTGTCATTCTGGTATACTATGTGATTCAGTGAAAGGTTATCCCCTATAAAAAAGAAAAAAATATAGGGAAATACGGATAATGTGGTACACTCCGGACATCTTTGAGTGGAGAATCTTATCACATACAATATTGTGTATTAATCCTATTATATCATAGTGTCCTTTCAGTGGTTAATTAAGACCATACAATTTTCTTTGATGAGATTTATTAGAAAAGACAGAATTATTTCACGTGCAATCTAATTTTTTACGTAATGCCTACTTAAACAATGTTCTTTCTATGTAAGGACGATACATGCGAACAATACTAATTTATCATCGCAAATAGACTCACCTCCCAATGATCCTATTTCCGCAGGTAACGTAATTGTGATATCCGATTGATGTTGATTGTCACGAAACAAGCCTCGCCTTCTCTTACCGCTTTTGGAAACGCCTAAGGTAAGGCCGTCTGAGAAGTCACTGCTACCAACGTTAAATGCTTGTACATCAAGTTCTTCGCTGGAGTAATCAAATGCACTGCCGTCACCAACAGCAAGCGATACTTGCGCTTCTAATGACGTTACTACTTTTGACGCAGCCGCTGGTGGGAAACCTACTGAATTTCCGTCATCCGCTTTAGCTCCAAGAATATTACCGACTGAAGCTGAGACAGAAGAAGTTACCTTCAAACGAGAAAATATTATAAATCCAAATTGTTTGGTTTTCAAAAGGCAACGAATGTTTTTACAAAACATTATAGATAGACATGTACATACAGGCCTGATATTTAGTGTATTGTAGAACGTAAAGAAATGTTGATATGGTTTTTAAAAAAGTGAATATGGGTTACCTCGACTGATGCCGAGCCAACAGAAACAACACTATCCAATACATCAGCAATTGAGTCTAACGCATCCGCAGAAATCGTATCTAAGCCCGAAGTTAGACCTTCGACCAAGGTGGATACTTCGCCAACATTTGATTCATCTACTGTAATCTGTGAATTGAATATGCATGAGCTTAAATTTGCTTCGTGAAAGCACATCAAAATTATCATAAATATTTTTAATAGCAGCAGACTTAGCAGCAGCAGAAGCATTTTTTAAAATGGGTCCAAATTATGCAGTTTTATGCATAAAATGAGTCCACTTTTGAAAATTGGGTCCTGATTTCTCATATTTAGCTTAAAATTGGAAACATTTTAAATAAATGGGTCCAGATTTTTTATATTTTAGCGTAAAGTTGGTCACCTTTAAGAAAATGGGTCCACATTATTTGTATTTACGCGTAAAGAGGATCCACCCACTGTTTGAAAATCCTGGCTACGGCATTGGTAGTAGCGGTCCTAGCAGGAGCAGCAGTACCAAGAGAAGCATTAACCTTACCTCACTGAGTCGTTTCAATTGATCATCTACATTTTCTTCGCCAAAACAGTCCGTTACAATCTCACCTTCTGACCATTCAGCGCTTTCGTCATTTCCAATACATGATTTAGTCGCCATTGGATGACCGCCTATGAAAATTTTAAAAATTACTATTGCCACAATATTAGAAATATGTTTCGTCGTATGGTTTGACCGTTGCTATGGAGACGATTGTATTTTACCTGTGGACATTTACTTAAAGAATTTGAAATAAAATTGTAATATAAAACTCGATTGAAACAACAATTCATAAGTCAATTTTCTTACCATATTTAGCATAGAATGGGCACAAGGTAGATGATGAAGCGATTTCTCCACTTCTTGTATTTGGAAAAGAATATAAACCTACGTCTATGGCTGGACAACCAACTGTGGAAAATAACGGTATTAATTATTAGAAAAGCAGAGGTAGGCTAATTAATAATATACTTTTTTATTTTTTATTTCAACCATCTTTAAAGAGGGTAGTAGATTAACTGATATTCAGGGCCCCTCTTTAATAAAATCAAAGAACAGTACAAACAACATCAACACAACATAATAATAATAATAACAATAATAATAATAATAATAATAATAATAATAATAATAATAATAACATACAATCCTCATAACAAGTCTTAAAAGTATTAAATTGACTTACATAAAGACAATTCAAAATAGAAGTTTAATTTATAATGCCTAATATAATATAATGTAATATAATATAGTATAATATAGAATAAAATCAAACAATGTAATAATAAGAATAGCTCAATAAAACAGCAATATACTGCCTAGGAAAACCCGTAAATTTAACTTATTGGTTTGCTAATTAAACAGGACCAAACCTTTATCGACGTCTAAGAAGACAGAGTTAATTTACAGACATTTTATAGGCTACTACAAAAATTGTATTGTCTACCAGTCACTTTAAAAGTTTAGACTAAAATATAAAGAACCGTTGTTGTGACTGCATACTTTCGATTGGACGGCAATAACTTTATTATATAAAGTAATATGAATTTTAGTGTTCAAATTATCATATATAATATCATTATATAACTCAAAGCACATAATATCTTTAAATATTAAAATTAGACTACGACTGTATAGTGTAGTAATAACGACTACTACAACTTTTGTAATTTATCCCTGATCGTATCGGAGCAAGAGCTGGCAAACTCCACCTATTTATCCTGGGTGGAGAAAACCAATGCAGGTAAAATGCCTTACTCAAGAGGACGGAAACGAGGGATTGAAACCCCGACCTCCAAGCTGGGACCAACCCACTACCGCTGTGTCAAACAACCGCTCTAATGTGTCATAAACTTACCGTAGACTTCAACGGTGAATGAGCACATCGCCTTATTACCAGAAAAATCTTCTACAATGTACTTAACATTTTCGATCCAGACAAAAAAATCTTCACCAGATATGTGCGTAGAGTTTAGCGTTTCCATGGCAATTCCATCATTATCTATTGCTGTCGGTTCTTCCCAAGTCACCGAATGCGCATCTGTGATAGTTGCGGTAGGCAGAGAAACGTTTGGTGGGCATAGAGTAAAAGCTGGTGGAATGAGATCTGATAGAAAAGAAATATGGAATTTATGTTTAAAAAAAGGAAAAAGAAAAAAAAATAAGAAAAAAATATACTATATAAGTCATAACATTATAAAATATAATATATATACTTTATACGGTATATAATATTATGAACTGTAGTGTAAAAGATGAATATAATTCTTTACCATGTTGTGACTTCTATATTATATTCTGTGCTTTTCATTATGTTCAGTTACGGTATATCACTTACCGCGCTAATGTCTACTTTATTTCATTATCTGTTAAAGAGTTGTGTTATGCTCATTTTGTCTTGTTTACACTTGATTTTCAGCATTTGCTTAAAATCTGTTTATAATATTATAATATAGTGTAAAAGATGAATTTGTTATATTGTGACTTCTATTACACAGACCTAAGGTACCATTCCAATAATTCAGTTATTGACAAAGATAATGTCCATTATATTTTATTATCTGATAAAGAGTTGTGTTGTTCTTTGTTTCTGTTTTTGTCTTACATTTGAATTTCAGCATTTGCTTAAAATACATCAAACGTAATCTACTGATCGTTTTTCTTATATGCATTGTTTCTGTTACGATTTTACATTGTTGGTATCGTTATACAGTACCGTAACTGAAAATGAACAAGGCAATATTCAATACCATAACAAAATCGATAACATTTTTTTTCTAATAAATTAACATCCATCCTTACCATAGACTTCAATGAGAATAAAGCACGTGGTGACATGTCCAGCATCGTCTGTGGCGTTGTATATCACCCTGGAAACGCCTATCTTGAATACGCTGCCAGGATTTGACGTGTGATGTACGTTCACGATTCCAGAATTGTCGGAAAACACTGGTGTGGGCCAGTTAACATGCGCCTTGTTTCTACCTTCTTTAACGTAAGCAGTAATTGGCGTGCTCGTGCAATTTTTTACCTTGGGTGGTTCAGAATCTATATTAAAGATCAGACAATAAAAATGGGGATTTTTTTTACAATGATTCTTGATGTCCTCAAAACATCAATTTCACTTTATATTGATAAATATTGTTTAGGTCTACCAAATTACAATTATCGAAAAACACATGAGCAAAAAAAGAAGACGGAGGTTATCGAAAAGACAGCTTATAAGTTTGTTTTAATCATCAATAGGCGTAAAATGTGTAAGCAATTTCATCTGGTTTAAAAAATATAGGCTAATAGATTTTTTAAATTTATACTACCGTATACTAATAAGTACGCACTGAGGATTACTATTCCGTCTCTCTCTTATTTCAAGCTCATTACATCAGACGAAAGTGCGGTACACATTGAGTATTTATTGTTGCAGTATATATTGGAGAAACTATTGGGCCTATATTTATATCAATAGAGGTAATCGATTGAGAGATTGACTTGAAAGTCATGTACCTGGAAACTATTCATTATCTTCTACTATTTTAAGCCTCTTATGATCATGGATGGAGTCAAGATTCTAATTTAATCGATTTAGAAAAATCCCATGCAGGCCTAAAGGATAATAACAAGCAAGGACAAAGAGCGGATGTCAATGCGACGAAACAACCATATAAGCAAAATTGTATCCGTCTTGCTAGCTAAATAGTTACCACCGACCGCCTGTTCAATAAAATCCCTTCAAAAGCCTGAGCGGCACTAGACATGGTTAAGGGAGAGCGAAATGGATTGGGCATATTGATGGTGTATCTATTTTTGTATTCTCACAATTAGCATTCCCATGTGTTCTATTAAGAAAATATGATTGCGTCATTTTGATGCTTTTTGAAAATGTAAACATACTGATCCACTTAGGGTTTTAAAATCTGTGAATGGTTGTAATGTGTGGAAAAGGTTAGACGCATCTGCAGCGATCGTTTAAATAGAGTCCGATTGCGCGACGCCAATGCTCAGACTGCCACTTGGGACTATAAGTTTACAAAATAAGGAATCATTGACCACTAAAAATGGGATAAAGAAGAATAAAAATTTTCAAAATAGCTAAGGGTCACATTATATTAAGTGTGTATACCTACCGTGAATGACAACATCAAACACACATGACCCAATGTTGCCGGATAAATCGTACGCATCGTATCGCACCTTAGTCGATCCAATGTAAAATGTGTCTTCAGGTTGGTGAGTGGAGTTCATCGTAATATGCTGTTGTCCAGTGTTGTCAGTGAATACTGGAGGCTGCCATGTTACAGCGCTGGAGTTTAAACCCGGTTCATTATTGCTCATAACAGTTGACGGACAAGATATAATGGTGGGTCCTTCTACGTCTGCGATGGAAATATGAACATTTATAAGATAATATTTTTCAATGTGATTGTTAACGATAAGTATTAACTAATTAATATAATCATTGTGATTATTATTTAATATTGAGCTATTAGCATCTCATCATTAGTATCATTAGAATTACAGTCATTAGTATTTTCTATTACTTTGTAGACTGCATAAATTAACGAAAACAGACATTATGAAGTTACAAGTGGATACATAGGTAGTAAGATCTATTGCTAAAAATTGATAAACAAAACATAATGCATAGGCCTACCTTGGTGACAGTACTGGCCACCCCATCCTTTAGGGCACGTGCACGTAAAGTTCTTCTCTCCGCTCACACACGTTCCATTTTGTTGGCAAGTGATGTTCTTGCAATAATCCACTAAAAATAGAGGGTGATCTCAGTATTAAAAAGGAAATGATCAATTAGTATTTAACAAACATCAGACCTTCATCGGATGCTGAGATATGATAACCCCTTTGGCCACTAGAACTAGGACACCCATTGTATAGGATTGTTACCCTAAAAACTGTCTATGAGACCAATCCATGGGAATTGTTGTTGGTATAGGTTGGATTTTGCCGGAAAAAATCAACCAATCTAACTACTAATAAGCCTTGATAGTCGTTTAGTGCAGCATTGACGTACAAACCACCAACAATTTCCGCTATTGTTATCGTACAATATTTCATAAAGGGTCACTTCCGTTAAATATTGGTGTATACACATTATACTTATTAAAGAAGCAAACAAATTTTGGCTGCTGGCAGCGAAATTTCGATTACCCTCCAGAGAATAATTTTGTCAATTAGGGTGGATGGTATGACCTGTGAACTTTAAAGTACCAAACATTCCTTTGACTATAATTCGCAGAGAAAAGGGGGTAAAAAAGCTTTTATACGCAGTGAGATCTTTAGGGGCAAAGAATTCGGCAACGAGACAGGTGAGATGAAATTGCAGTTAGAGGATCAAGAGCGTCATGGCAATGTAGTATTTTATACAACCAACGACTATCAATCAGCCAACTGATCGACGATCAATCATTCAATCAATTTATCAATCCATCAGGCAGTCAATCAATCAATCAATCACTTAATAAATCAATCGATCAGTCAATTAGAAAGCACAATAAATAAATGAATCAATGAATAATAATCAGTGAGTAAAACAAGTACAGTACTGTAATCTGTATCTGTGCTACCAAACTATAAACACAACACAGTAGCCTGCCATGAATGTCACAGTTGGCAAAATGTTTTTGGAGATCTTAGAATCTATCTAACTTAACTTTAGGCTAAGTGTGTGTGTATGTGTGTGTGGGTGTGTGTGTGTGTTTTGGAAGAGGGGATGGGGCTAGGGATATATGATAGAATGTGAATGCGCATCGATTGTGGCTTGGACTCCCAACCTTAAGGTCAGGGGTTCGAAACTCTCGCTTCGCAAGTCGCTTGTGTCCTTGGGCAAGGCATTCTATCTACGTTTGTCTCTCTCTACCCAGGAGTATAAATGGGTACCTGGTAGAAAGTTGTGGCATTGAATGTTCTAGTTTCGTGCGCTAAAGAAGTAGCGAATAACTAGGGATACTCTCCAGGGAGCAAAGAAAGTTGCACTTTGTGCTGGTTGGCCATTGTACGTTATCCAGTGACCAGGGGTATAACGCTTGCTACTTTGACCATTCAATTTGGAATTGGCGCCTTATAAATGTTTGAGTACTATTATTATTATTACGAGTATTATGAATAGGGTATTTAAGTAATGCATAAAATTAAAGACTGAGATATGAACGTATATGTGTAATATTTGCCAGTATTAAAATGTATCTCAGTTTGTCAATTATTAATTGGTACGACACATTTCACAAAGACTCCCGTTCAGTTTGATTTCGCAAACACATGCTTGCATTGGTAGCGTCTAACACATACTATAGATAATTTTATGATATATAAATATATTTCATTAAAATATACCATTTTGAATACTGAATACTGAAAGCCTTATACTGTATGTCCAAATGGAAATTTGTTGCGTTGACAAAGCTCATTAAAGTTAGAAAAAATACATGTAACATACACATTAAAACATACTTTGGTATTGTTATATAGATAGGAGATAGGTATCTTATTATGCTTCACCGTTTCCATCGATGTTATTAAATCCAATTTACTAGCAATGAAAAGTTGCTTTATTACTGTTGTGTTATTATAAATATTGATTGCAAGCAAAAATAAACTTTTTCATTAAATGTATGGTATAAACTATGGCTGCACTTGAATTTTGTTTAGGCTAGGCCTAACAGTTACCTTCGATCGTAACAGTGAACGAACAGTTCTTAGTCCTGCCATTTACATCGATGGCAGTGTAGTATACTATGGTTGATCCAACTGGAAAGTGGTCGCCTGGGCTCATTGTGCCTTCAATAGTAATGGGACTTAGGCCTGCTGGAGTAGCTATCTGGTAATTGGCCACAGCTGGTTCCCATGTCACTCTCCTGTCAGTTGTGCCAGAAGCAATCGTCTTATGTTTATCAGCAGGACAAGTAATGCTAAGTTCTTTAATAAATAAACAAATATTTTTGTTAATACAAAATTGTGTAAATGAAGTTTAAATACTGATAGGGCCTGTTTCTTGTTGCATACGTCCTCTAACCATTACTAACGTTAAGTCAGAAGACCTCAGCGCTAAAAGTGAGATACTAGCCTGGTTCTCACGAGAGCCCTAGTATCCGGATCGGGAGCTAACCGTTAGCGATAACTGTTAGCACCTGTGTGAGAACGCCCCATCGGTTACCGCTAACGGCTAGCAAGCGCTATCGGTTAGCAAGTGAGCACGTTTCTATCATCAACCAATCACACGTACGCGTTTACAATTTCCAGTTTCTTATTGGCCAGTGGTTCGATCATCATATTTTTCTCGTATGGACGCACGGCAGCTAACGGTTAGCAGGGTCCGGATCCTGCTAACCGTTAGCAGCCGTGTGAGAACATAGCCAATGTGATGATCACTTTGTTGGCGCCCGTCACGTCCACCCTTCGAAAAAAAAATCATGTAATTTCCTAGCAAATAATAAAATATTATTGCAAAGTTATTGCTGCATCAAAGTTTAAGTAACGCTATTATAAATTTCGTTTCAATAATGACATGTTGTCTGAAATTTAAAAAAATAAATTGAATTTTTATTTATGGTTCTACAAATAAACATCTTTAAAACCAAACTGCAACGTAATTATAAATGTTAGCTGGGCTAGGCCTCAATTACGTTTACTAAAACATGATCAGTGAAAATTAGCCCATAAAGAAGAAAACAATCAGACAGGCTACACAAATAAAACCCAACAAATTCATTTAGTAACTTATAATTTAATAATTTATAAATGAAACTTGAATGTTTATTGTGAACTGATAAGAAATTTCTTGTATCTATGGTCCGTATGATAAAAAAAAAAACCAAAGGCGGTAAGCTTACCGAGACATAACAAGGTATAGTCGGAGCAACAGTCTTCTACATTGGCACTTGCGCATAGATCATCGCATTGGCAAGGTTTGGCAGGGTCGTATTTTCTGCATCTATCAGAGCAGCTGTCATCCGCTCCTATGGGGCACAGAGATATATGATTAATATAGCATTCATATAATATTTACTTTTAAGGTCAAATTTAAAAAATATTGTATGTTTCTAGTTCTCTATTCTCTTTGGCAGCCTCTTTTTTTTTTTCCTTCCAAACATAACACTCTAAACATTTCCTCAGATACCGTATTCTACTATCGTCAAGAAATGAAAATAAGTACGTGTGTAAAAATGAATAAATAAGAACAAAAATTCATTGATGTATGACTAAACAAAAGAAAGAATAAATGAACGAAAGAACGAATGAACGAACGAACGATTGAGCAAACAAAACAAACGAACAAATAAATGGACGGAGGAACGAACGACAGATTGAAAGAGGGGACGAACGAAGGAAAGAACGATCGAATGAACGAAATATTGAACGAAAGATTGAAAGGACGAACGGATAGACGGATTCATGGAAAACGAATTAATAAGCGGACAAATTATTATGAATATTTTGTCATTCGTTCATTCATCATGGACGAAACGAATGAATGAACAACGGAACGGACGAACAAACGATAAAATATTTATAATAGGGCTAATAACTATTGTTTGTTAATGATTTTTAGCTAAGCTTAACTAGAGGTGAAACTTAGTTGTACACAGATGAACGAATGACTGAATAAATAAACATGACTGTTCTCAGTAATGCAAATTGTACCGGTGTTAAACCATGATTATATTAAATTATAGCAACATGCGAGATTATATAAGTCATCACATGCCAAGTATGTTAAGCTCGGTTGTTTATAATCCATTTGAACAATCAGTATTAATCCATTTGCCTTTACACTGTTACTACTCTTCGAAATCACACTATAGTTCCGTTTCATTATCACTGGCGATTTATCTCTATACCTCGGTTCCTAATGGAATTAGACGTTCCTTATTGCTATTTCTAAAGAAGTTGATGTGATTGTGAAAATCCAACTACAAGTCATAGAATAGCTGTTGGCATTTTTACCTGTTCAAAATGTTTGTAGTAGTAACGTATTGCCAACTATAATAAACACAGAATATAATCTGGATTGATGTCTTCTCAGTCAGGATAATGCATGTGTAACTTACAGTATATTGACTATATTTTAACCTACTCTATGCCAATCTGAGTTTTGTTATTTTTTGATCGGCACACTCGATAAATATTACTTTTTTATTCTTATAAATGAGCCTAATATCTAGCGCAAGAACTCACCCAAAAGAAGGTGCTAAAATACCTATGATTTCTTGGCATTTTTCTAGCACGGATTTTACTGATATATTTTCTACATGAACTTAATCAGTTCAATAACATGCCTAATTTATCATATGTACTATTTCTAAAGCTATTTTTATAGACAACCAGTTTTGTTATTTCGATTTTTAAACAATTGTTCCAAAATTTAATGAAATGTGTATCGGTTTTTCAATAATATATTGAGATTTAGGTTTTGTTTAAAATGGGCAGTTCGTGTTTGTTATTTTTCGCGAGTGAATATTTATCACCAATTTAATTATTATTGCTTGTAATTTACGATTGATTCTTTTCTTCTAGATCTAAAATACGTTTCTGGGTCGATGTATTCCCAGGCAGTGTGTATAACCATGGAGGAAGAACATTTTTTTTCCTCCATGGTATAACCACCCTTTTTACGTCATCGTTACAAATGGTATACGAGAAACCTGGGGGAATGGCTGAGTGTTCTACGTAGACCTCCGGCAAAGGATTAATTCTGATCAAAACTCAAGGGCAAATCAGACATGTCGAAACAAAACTCTTCGTTAATCTTCATTATTAAGATTTTCTAACGAGGTAAAATGTCACGTTCGAAGTTATAATTAACTTCAATATGTCAGGTTTACAAAAGAGATTTTACAAGCTTTGATTAGCTTTAAAATCAAATAGGCCTACGTAGGCTTGTTCACGTTTCTTGTTCAGCATTGCTTTTAACACCAATTAAAACTGCTTTATAATATCAATTATGATATTTTCGTAATATAATAATTTCTTTCAGCGCATTTCTATATCTTCTTTTGTCTTCCGGGAATAGGCATCTGTTTCATAATATCAGTAATATAATAATTTCTTTCAACGCATTTATATATCTTCTTTTGTCTTCCGGGAATAGGCATCTTTTGTATATGCTCTCAAATCTTCGTAAATTTAAAACAAGGTCATTATTGTTTCTGCCAATCTTCTAGCCTTAATCCTTTAGTCCTATGACAGAAATTTTATCCCTACATCAACCTCTGTCACATGCTCTGTTTTTTATCCCTCCATTAGTAATTCTTACAAAATAGTTCTGCCACACACTCTAACTCCCACCTACTAACCCACACCACCCCCCCCCCCGCGCAATCCCTTCTACCTAGGCTACTCCGACACGTAACACATAGGCCTAGACACAATCAATCGCTAATTGTCTTGGACTCGTTCACATCACTTCAACGGTTACGCAACATAGCCTATATATTATGCCTATTCCACTGTACTAGAAATAGCATCCAGGCAATCAGATGTGAAATCGACCCACTCACCATCCACCACATCCTACATGTGAAAGTGAAAAAGATATTGAATAATGACAGCTCGTGATCCACACACTTCAACACGGTTTTCATTTCAGTCCCTCGGGTGTTAAGTTATTACCACGAATACGCATATAATATTCCTGTAGGAAGTCTATTGTAACAGACGTAATACATTATTTATAGATTACTGTCTGTAATACAAGCTGGAAAACCCTAAAAAATCAATGAAGACAACCATTATTTTGTTCGATTTAAAGGAACAAATACAATAAGTTATCAACCTCAAATGATACATCGATAAATACAATTCGGTTTTGGGAGAATTACAGATTGTACTATTCTTAAATCGATTTAAAAAAAAACCAAAACAAACGAATTTTCATAAACCAAAACATGCACAGCACAGAATATTGGGAACGTTATATTTATGTGTATGGTTGGCATGGCATTTTCTCGGTCTAATGTGCTAACAAAACCATAAATTGTAAACAAAATCAAATATTGTATAATGTATATATGCCTATGTTCAACTCTACACCAGTATATCTTTAAACAAAAGCGTCACTGATTTTCAAATATCATTTGAATTCTCAGCAAAGGTAAAAGTAAGTGATGGACAATAACATAGCGAAGGTCCCTATAGAGATAACTTGTAGGCTTACAGTATTTCTAAGAAAAATGATTCCACTCATCTGGTGATGAGATTGAAATGAAACGTGGAACTCTATTTCCAATAGTAATCCTATTAATTTTTCTACTAATTAATCGCTTCAATTAAAATCAGTGATGTGAATTCTCTTAACAAACTGTATTTACAATTAAAAGTAATCACAGAAAACATTTGAACTTATAGCATAATCTGAACAAACTCTCAAATTACCAAAATATGAACAAAAACGTGTTTCATTTTTACCTGTGATTTTATTATAAATTATTATTAATTGTAGGGGAAATTAATTTTTTTTTAATGATAATTTCACAGAGAGGAGTATTTTACGACCGGTAAAGCACTTGATGACTCTTACTCGACGCTGAGGCACAAGTGGTTAACTGGAGGTTGGAATGCTAAAATGTTGATTACTAGCTAAAAAATTATGGAATATTCCCCGGAAGAAAGCTGATGTACAGTGCGATAATTCCATAGACGTTTGATTCAAGACCGGGATAATAGTGTGAAGCATTTAAAGACCTCGGCGTGAAGGGCCTTGTAATAAGACCGATATGTATGTACACGCGGACTGGAATTGGTTGCGAGGATGTTTCGATTTCTGCGATATTTTCTGCGTGTTTTGGCTTGAGCGTTTTAAAGAATGAGAGGCCAAAGATAGGCCTAGGTGACGAAAACAGTAATATGGGCTTTTTTGTATGCTGTATATTAATGGCCTAAGAACAGCGGAAATTCAGCATGACCTCGAGATACTGATTAATTTCTTAAGCTTCTTAATTAAGTTGAGAGGTTTTTAGGTACAATTGTAATTTCTTTGAAAATTTACAATTGTATACAGGTCTAAGTGTACTATGGTTGCCCATGGCGACAACCCCAATCTTAGTGCACGTCATACATGTAATATCCGACAGTTTAAAATATACGTGGGTTGTAAATAATAAATATAGCAAAATGTCATGTAGCAATATGGATGCTAATATAAACTACTGAACAGACCTCTCTTCTAAAATGGTTTTTCCTTTCGAATATATTGAAATTAAGTAATATTTTTATTTTTTTTATAATAATAACATTCTGTATTAAAAATCATTTTTTTAAAATCATTATATGCATTTTTTTTAACTGAAATAATTTAGTTTTTAAAAAGAATCTAACATCAAATAAATTGCCATTTACATTTTACTTTTTGTAGGAATTACATATTCAATAATAAAATATTCAAAGATAAAAAAAAAGCCATGAAATATATAATTAATATATCAACATAAATCATGCATTTATTAATAAACCCACAAAATATGGGTTGATATGTCAAATTATTATTATTATTATTATTTTTTTTTTTTTGAAAAAGAGAGTTCTACAATCATAATTAAAGGGTTTGGATGGGGTTCGTGGTGTATTTGCAAGTATTTTTTTGCAAAAATAAAATCAACATTTTAACCAAAAAATAGGTTCTTATGAATATTTAATTTTCTTATTAAATTGTAAATAAATTGAACTTTGAACTTTGAACTTATTAATATACCAAGTGAGTCAAATCACAATTGAATTGCTTGGTTTTCTACAGTGTGTTTTGGGAGGTTTGTGGGATTTAGCAATACCATTTAATCCTAACATATTACCCTACCCTCACAATTAAACGCCATTTTAATTCTTAGTGTAATTGCCATATTTACATAACTATGTATAGTATCTCAGTTTACATTATTTAGTATAGTTTTAGGCACTTAAAATTTAGTTGGCGGGGAATAAAAACAAAGTATGCAATTAAATAAGCTTAAATAAATGTATTCCT